CAAACTCATCTATAAGAGAGACGCAAACTACAGCTATCGAATCAGAACTAAAAGAGATCCTTTCAGAGGCGTTAGAGACGCTGCTAAGAGGCTCAGCAGAAGACAAGAATTCATTATGGGACCACAAAATGATATTACAGCCACTGTCTGTATAGTATGTAACTGTTTCATTATTACCACTACTATAGCTGTGAACAAGTACCACAGGGCCTACTGAATAAAGCTAAAGGTTGATGTGACATATAGACATGTGACATATAGAAAAGTGCCGCTGCTGAACCCTTTTTGTGAGGACTAGTCTTTAAAAAGGGAAGATGTGAAGATAACTGTGTTGTATCTCTCAGAGGATTTTTATAATTTCTTTGTTATTTCTTTTTGAAGCACTTTGTATTGAAATGTGACACAAAACGTGCAACATATAGTAAATAAAGTCTGTCTTTATTTTACCCTGTCCTTTGTTGGTCAAGAAGTTGACAGTCTGAACATCACTTGCACTTCGGTTTCTTTCTGTTTTAATTAGTTGATTTTATTATCCAATCTCAGAAAGATTTATGTGAATAGACACTTGGAGATAGGCCTTTTTGGAGGAACACAGATTAAACAAGTCTTCTCAACTTTTTCTTTCTTTCTAGGGACATATTTTACATTTTCTATTCAAATACTTGTGACTGATTTGTTAATGTAAATAGTTTATGAAGTGTAATGTAAATACTTAAGCAGCTATAGCCACACCATGTATTATTGGTGGAGTAAATTAAGTTCTAATCATTGATAATATTACACACACTGAGGAAGCTTGAAATATATGTATTTTAGTGGATTGTTGTGGCTAAATTAAATAAAAGATAAGCGTGTGTGTGCACCAAATATCATAGGCAATTAAAAATTTTCCCAAAATCTGACATTTTACATAATTATGTACAAAAGTTTTGTAATTTTGAAAATTACAATATTCACACTTGGCTTAACATAATGTCCGTCTTTTTAGGAGCTCTTCAAATGTGTTTAGGAATAACACAACAACTGTTTTAAATGTATGGCCAATGTATGGTCAAACGATATCAGGAGTTTCAAAATTAGTCTGAACATTACTGCATAGAACCCATAAATTAATGAAATCTGACTTAGTTAGTCACAATATTACATTTGTTACAATTTTGCTCCATTGTGTAGGAGGACAAAAACAAGTCACCCTCCGGTACTGCACGTCTTTCACCCAAGATAAATTTGAGCCCCATCTGGAGAAATAAAGGATATCTTTCTTTCTTTTTCTTCCGAGCGGAACAAGACATAAGATCCTGCGGTTCAGGGACAAAGAGAAAACCCATGGAATTAAAATGTGTTTATATGAGCATTACTGTTTTACAACTTCAATTTGAATTGAATTACATTGTGAACATTTGCTATATCTGTCCTTAAAGGTTTTTTCATTCTGTCTCATTTAAAGTTAATGTCAATTGTCTTGGATTTCTGATGAATTTTACATCTGTGTTTCTATTTTCAGTATTTTTCACCGCTGCAGCACGTCACTTCAGGGATACTCTGCAGTGCATTCAAAAGAGGGCAGTGTAACCACACATGCCGGGTTTCCTTAATGCGCTCCTCTATTTAAGTGTCTATCTCTCACATAAACAATATTAGTAACCTATATCTACATACCACATGTATATCTATTTTTGTTTAACTACGCATTTCTGCAAATCAAATCTTTCCAGCAGCAACTTGTATTTTTTGTTTCAAACTGATCAAATCTATGTGTCAGGGCAAAATAACTGGAGAAAAGAAAATGCCTAAAAAGAGTACGCCTAATATAGGATTTCAACAGACATTTCAGCAGTCAGAGTGAAAACCTCAGTGGTCAAGCTGTGAGGAAAAAGCTGCACCTGGTAATTGCTGCAACACCCACTGACCCCTCCGCAATGTGCATCAGCATACCCCATGACTACATGTAAGAAAATTGCTTCATAGTTAGCGCATTATTGTTTCAGTGATCGCAGAGAGGTAGCTTTGCCTGGCCCTGGGTGGCATCATTAACACAGTCTGAAGTAACACGTTTAAATCAGATGGCATTGTCACAGGTGTAACTACTGCTGTTCATGCATATGATTAATGTCCCCTTTTTTGATTAATTTCCGACGTTGGCTGAGAAGCCCTCGCATTTGTGATTAATGAACTCGCAGCCTAATATGATGGTGGTTTGGTACATATTTTGTGTGTGTATGTGCGTGTGTGTTCTCTCTCTGACTGGTGCTAGCGTGCAGCATCCTTAAATCCCAGTTGAGTCGATGGCAACAGCCAAAGGTCAGGCTGGAGGACATCACACACAACATGTGGCCTTTCCGTGTCTTAAAAGCAGAGTCTTACTCACTGTGGAGTCACGATAGGGATAATACATTGGGCTTTCCTGCTACAATAAATCTTGGAGACAAAGAAAAGAAAGCAGACACAGAAACTGGCATAGCCCTTGTATGTAAAGTTAGTGGCAAACTGATATATAAATCCACATACACTGACACGGCTCTGGTCCCATGGGTCTAAGCTTCTATCTCTGCCTGAGGGCTGGAAAGGGTACGACAAAGATGCTGCAAACCAGAGCTTCCCACTCTTCCTCTGTTCACAGAACTGAAGGGGGATAAAGTGTACCACTTGGTTATACCCACTGTTGACCTTTTGATATCTAAGTCAATATTCTCTCTTTTTTTTCCCCTCTCAGGCTTTTTCCCTTTATGCCCAACCTTCCTCATCTCCCCGGTGGTGACAGAGATGGAGGGCACAAGGGTCTGTAATTAGCTGGTTGACCCCGGGGTTGGGTTGTGTGACCCCGGCAGCCGCGAAGCGCAGAGCTACCCTGATCAGATGAGTAGTTCTGAGGGATCAGTGGTTGAAAGACAGCCGCCTCCGTGTCTCAGCCAACCCATTCACATTAGCCAGCGTGGCCGAGACAGGCACAGTTACAGGGGCCCAGCTGCCGAGCCCAAACAGAGTCACAAACACCTGTCTGGGTAGAGTACAAACATACAGACACATGCTTTTCAACATCCACAGACACCGATGCGGCTGCAAAACACACTACCTGCCACCACCCATGGAAAGGAGGAGGAGAAGGGGGGCTGAGGGGTAACCTGACCCAGGTAGGGGAAGGATAGGGGAGGGAGGAGAAGTGCTGGCCCTTGGTCAAGTGCCTTGTATTCCACAAACAGGCCTCATCCAGTTACACTCTACCTGAGACGCAGAGCCTGAGGAGAGGATTCAAAGAAAGCATGTGGACCTCCCTCCCTTTGGTGTGCCTTCTTTGGCAAATGGAGATTTTCCTCTCAGAAAACACCTTCTGATTTCTTCTCTGAGCAGGTATCCAGGGATTTAGTGAAAATCAAGACCTGCTCCATTCTTCTGAGTCAGTTCATGTGTAATTGTGTTGCTTTATTTTCCCCAGCTGCAGAAGTATTAAAAGCATTGCATTGCCATCGCAGAGGTACCTATGAGCAGGTTGATAATTGGTAAACGTTGCTCAGCTGTCTTTGCTGCCTCCACTACACTAATTAAAAGCAGCGAGATAGGGCGAAAGGGAGAGAGTGTCAGCAAGGACACGCTGGGAGACGTACACCTGAGACGGCACAGTCACTGATGCTCCGGGCACATCAGTATGACCTGAACGCCGGCGCTGTTTGAAGTAGTGACAGGGAGGGAGGGAGAGAGAGAGAGAGAGAGACAAAAGTGTCTGGATCTGAAACTGTTGCCCTTGGGGGAATAAAGAGATAGGAGGAAATATAGAGGACGGATATGTGAATATACGGGGTAAAGAAAAATTTCGATTGAGGAGAAGGAAAGAGGACAGAGAGAAAGAGTGAAAGGTAGAGTCTCTTCTGCCTCTCGTCTCTGCGAAAGTTGAGGCCTCATCTTTAGGATTCTTATGATTTAGTCTCACTTTCTGTCGCTCAACCCTCATTCATTTCTACCTCTTTACCTCTCTCAAGTCATCATGTTTACACAAGCTGTTACTGCCATTTCCCTGTTGTCTAACCCTCTGCTGTTTTCCTCCTTCTTTCCCCTCTTTCTTTGTCTTTTTCCTGCTGGTTGGAAATCTGCAAGGCTTGCTCATCGGCGCCAGCCTCTGTTAATCCCCTCCCAAAGCACCTTAGCAACGCTAGGAATTTAGAGATGCTAAAAAAAACACACGACGACAACGACAACAACTGTTCTTAACACTGGGCTCATATTGGCAAGAGTGGCCACATCTTGAGATGTGTGCGTGTTTTCCATAAGTAGTTCAGAACAATCTGGAAGGGTGTGATAACCAAGGATCTCTCCAGAGTGCGTGTGTGCGCATGAGTGTATGTCTGAATGTGTGTGTGTGTGTGTGTGTGTGTGTGTGTGTGCACACAGAGTGGGAGTGTATGTTTATGTGATATAGTTCCTATAACACCAGCAACCTGGTAATCATTGCATGTAGTCACCTGAGATGCTCATTATCTAGTCCCTGTACACGTTCCGTCTGTGTCTGTTCACTGAGTGTGTACTTCAGCACACACCACACACTGCTGGACTTGAGTCTCACAAGTGTTTGTCTTTGTGAGGTTGGCTGCACATACCTGAATGAGTCAATGATAGACCGAGAGCCTGAGCTAGTGAACAAAATATAAATTATCACAGAAAGCAGTGAAACAACTTGTGTTATTATGGGCCTAACTTTGATGTTAGCCTTGATGGGGGGAAAAAAATCAATAAAACAAGGTTACAACGCTCATGGCAATTACGCCGTTAGTTATTTTTCATTTGTTGGCTTTGCAGTTTTCGCACATCAACACGGATCACCCTCCCCGCCTCTCTCTTTCTTTACCTAAAATCAATTACTTAGGGGCAATGGTAAAATAATTGAGGGCACATTTAGGCCTTGAAATTAATACATAGTTTAAATGTTAAAAGTTTTCCATAACTTCTCACTTTGAAGCATTAATTTACCCTCCAAATTGAATGTGGAAAAAAAAATATGGGAAGCACACTTTTTTTATTCTTAGGCAGCAATAAGATGCAAGACTTTATTTAATATGTATTCTTTTTTTAAGCAAAAGCTAAGACAACAGCAAAACAGACACAATGTAACAGTACAATGTAAGTGTTGAGTACATAACAAAGCCTTGCCTTAAAGACAACTGTACAAATAGCAGTTACTTTTTTTATTTTAAATGCAAATATACATGACATGTTGATTCATGCACAGGAAAGATGTTGATTATAAATTAAGAGCATGTGTGAATAATAATTGTTTAATAAATATTTTCCATTCTGCTTCTCTTTATCTGTCTGAACAGGGACAGACAATGAACCCTCTACTGATGTTCTAGTGCCAGATCAGTACATGTTTCTCATTGGGCTGGTCAAACTGCACATTAAATACACTCAAGGCTGTGGAAATATTCATTACAGGCATTTTGATGGATTTTACAAATCTGAAACTGCAGCGGGTTCTTGGAAAACATGCCAACCCAGGGACTAAGAGTATTAAGACAGCGAAGCTGGCTGCACTGAAAGGGAACAGGAAAAAGGAGCTGTTGCAAACACTGCTGTTTTTTTGCTCATTGGTTAGTGTTTGTTTTTGCTGAGATTGGTGAGATATAGGGCTGGGGTTGTTTTTTTTTATTCAAGTAAGCCACATAAAATTAAATAAAATAAAATCTCCACATGCTCTGAAATCAGACACTGTACTTTGATACTAGGGCAATAGGAGAAAGGGGTTGTGTAATTAAGGGGTTTAGAGTAGGTAGCGTCACATGGGAAATCGTGAATGGAGAAAATTTGGGACTCTGACTGTCACTGGCATTTTCCAAAAGGTCTTTTCGCCCAAAGCGCCTATCTTCTAGTGCTCGTTGTAATGATGGCCTGCCAGCAGAGGAGACGAGGTGCTATCTGTTAATCACAGGTCCCCACAGTGATCCATGTCCGCTGGTGATAGCCATGATGGACACTTTGCTGGAAGAGAGAGACAGACAGAGAAAGAGGGAGATGGACAAAGAGAGGATATTGATTTGTAGGGATAACAAATGTCAGAAGTCCATAAATAAAGACAGCAAGACAGAGCAAATAGAGCATAGTAGTTTCATATATAGGTTTATAATATAACAACTACATCCTGTGCACAGTGTGTACATGTATATAGATAGAAAGAGAGAGAGACACACACACACACACATACAGACACACACACACAAGTACATGGTTCAGTGGGCTGACTACTTAATAGCTAGCAGGTTATCAATTAAATTACAAATGAACCAAATGTATCCCATACTTTAAACAGTCTGATAGCTGACAACAATCTAATGGCTCTGGAAACAAATTGTAGGTTTATAATCATTAAGAACAATTTATCGGTACCTCTTGGACATATTGCTGTGACATACACATCCTTCACTTGTTACAATCTGACCTATCTAAACAACCCGGTTTGTTGATCACTTGACCCGGAAGAGTTCAAAGGTCAGCCAGTGCAAACAGCTATCAGCATACAACAGGCACCATAAAACTGCTGTTTCTTATTTCAACCCTTTGACCCCTCATTAAACCCTTCTCTTCTGCAATGAGAATTATCACCTGCCACACAGAAGTAGAAATCCTTTACAGCATCTGGTGGGTTCGTATGTGTGTGAGCCAGTGATAGAGGAACACTGCAGGTGTGTTGTACACCATACTAAATTGAGTGAATTGAACAAGACTACAAGACTAACAGCTTCCTAACATAGGACGAGTGAGCGAACTCTAGCAGATGGAGCGCAAAAAATTGTCCGCATGTAGGCTGCTATGAGCGATGTTCCCATGTTGACTGCTGACTGGAAGGGAAACGGAAACATCAAGGACGTTGTTAGATTAGAAGTGGAGCAAATGTGCAAAACTTTGCAAAAATAAAACTTGCGCGAGTTCCTAGTTTTTTAGCCACTTCTGTATTTTTAAGTCTCAAGTCAGATATATCAGACGATTCAGACTTAAGTGTAATTACAAAATAATGATGCTATTTACAATTTGTCACAATGTTCAGCAGGTATAATGTTCACCATGTTCGCAATATTAGTTTAGCGTGTTACCAAGATTTGCTAAGTAGTGCCAAACACAAGGTATAGCTGAGGGTTATGGGAATGTTACGTAATGAATGGCAAGTACAATATTTAGTCATAAACCAAATAATGGACAAATTAAAAACTTGATCTCACGATGGGGATGGATGAAAAGTCAAACATTCACAAAAGCTATAGTTCTTTCTGAGGTGAATGTGGATTGTCTACCAAATTTCATTGCAATCCATCCAATAGCTGTTGAGACATATCTCTAAAAAGCACAAATGTCAACTTCAAGGTGGCACTAGAGGAAAAATCCTGGCGACTGACTATGGTTTATGGCCTTTTCATTCACATTATATAAAGCACACGCAGGTCCGTCATGTGATGTACACTGACCCAAAAAGACTTTCCTTCATGTACCCACATTGTGAAAGAGATGTCTGTAATTCAGCAAAAATTCTTTGAAGACAGTACATCAACTTCCCAGTACAAACACTTAAATAGCACTTAATTAAATCATTATGTCCTGAAAGTTGTAAAATTCTCTAATAGCCAAATCCACCTGTAAAAAGCTGACCAGTGCTATCAAACAACCCTAAGTTTGTCTGACTCCATGAAAGAAACTCTTTGTGGAACCACTTATGTTGGAAGAGAGAGAGAAAAAAGAACAACCTAACAGTGAATACTGGGCCTTCAAGTGCACAAAACAGAAGAGAAGGTTTTTTGAGGATACCTCAAATTTATCGTGTGACCCTTCCTCGTTGTTCTGTTTGCCTAAGATGATTGGGAAACTGGTAGTCAAGTGTTTGTCTGACCTAAAAAAGCAGATAGACCCCCTGATAACTGGGTTTAACTTTAAAAGATCCACCCTTCTGTATTTATCCTTTTGATTTACAGTATAAACTTTTTTAAAATGGCAAATGATTGATTTTATATAATTTGACAGATTATTTGTCCTTGGGGTCTTGTCTGATTGTCTGGCTACTAGTGTTTAGATCTCAGCAATGACTTTGATGTTAATAGAACTGATAGCCAGAGATACAAATGAAAAATCCGAGTTGTAATAAACCTCAGTTTTCCAAGCACACCTGCTTGGAGCTGCAGCAATGTATTCAAAAGGTCTGGGTAAATATAACTTAAAGAATATGGTGACTAACGATTATCCTCTTAGCCAGTCACATTACCGGTCTCATACTACTAAATCAGTTGTGCAAATCACAGGGGACATGGCTAAAATGGCAAACCAAATGGAGAGACTTCTTCTCGAGAAAGTACTATTGTTGTGTACAGAGCGGTAAGACCTGAAAGCATGGCACAACAAATCTGCAGCCAAAGGCCGATGGTAGCTCATACAAATGAGTTTGTGTTCGTAGAGATATGAAAGTTCGATCATGTCATTCCACCTATGTTGCCGGCTTTATTTGCAGCACAGTGATCTAAAAATATTTCTATGGAATTATTGTTATATGCAGTTGATGACTCTGGGCTTCGAGAAAATGAGGAGCACCACAGTAAAAACAGGAATAAATAATAGTAACAATATGTTTAAGCCGGTTATATGACATCAATCCAGTCTTGGCACAGTCATCATTTTGTATCACATATCAGTAATTAAAATGGCATTTTAAGAATAAAACATGAAACATCATTTTGCAATAAAGGTTGGAAAGGGGCCATGACACATAGGGTTAATAAGTCCAGCAACTCCTGGTTAAAGTGTAAAGGTGAGGTGGTGTTATTTTGTATCAGCCTGGTGTTGTTTCCACATGATGATGGCACTTCTCAGACAGGGGGCTGCAGGTTTATTATATATATATATATATATAATATAAATACCCTCAGATGGCAGCAGGGATTTAAGTAACTGAAAGAGCTTTTCACAGATCAGACTGCTTTACTGACAATCTTGCTTAAACCACATTTAAAGTTTTACATTTGATGCTACCGTAAATGCATCTACTGGATTGTAATTGTTCTAAATTGTTTATATTTTTCAGCATTTTTCTGTGACACAATTCATTTAGCTTTCCCTTGTTGTCATTCCCTGTCATTTCCCTGTTCACAAAATCACCTTTTTCAAGCTGAAAGACACCTTTTGTCAGTGCAATGTCTAAGACTCAATTTCAACCAAAAACAACAACAACTCGCTTTGGGCTGCTTAATTTGAATGAAACGCCCGCTTGTTTACACCTCTTCTCCCACCTGGATGCCATGTGCCATCTCTGAACTGAACAAAAATACCAAACAGATGGGCAAAGCACAACTTGTCATAGTACTGCTTGCGCTCACTTATGTTAAGCGCAACTTTAATAGCTAGCTACCGCCTGTCTCTGTAGTTATAAACCTGTCTCCTACACAATTACACAAGAAGGTTGTATACAAAACACCACATTGTTTTTCTGTGTCTCCTCATTTAGGTGTCCGAGTCAAACAAGCAGACTCGCAATTCAACCTGTGTTGTAAAATGTCACAAAAAGTTCTGTTACACTACTTTTAAGCTTTGTTCAGACTGCCAGGCCAAAACAATTAGGTTTTTTGGCATATCTAGATTGTTTCGAGATTGATTTTAAAAAGGCTGTACAGCAAGAAAACAAAACGCATGTGAACTCGATCCAAGCCATATTTTGAGGTGGTTTAAAATGCAATTCCAGTGCTAATTTCAAACCCTGAATGCTTCCACATATAAAACACAACTTTGTTACTGAAACCCATAAAAAGCATCTGACTGACATGGGAGACTGCTGTTCGTGACCTATCTCTTTGCAGCTGTCAAAATTGGTTTCTTTTACACGTGATCTGTACAAAAACCAAGAAGCTTTAGTTGCCATAAAGCTGCACAATAGAGTGTTCTGGCGGAGCTGAAAACGCAACACTAACATATTATCTCCTTATAACATTAGCGAACATTTTAGCAAACTGTTACTTGTTGTCCAAGGGAAACATTTGGCTACTTAGATGTTAAATACTCCAATCTGTTCACCAGTTAGGTGCCAACTTTGTCTGCTGTCAGGTGCTGGGCAGGTAGTGTACATGTAGTGGGTTTATCCCAACTTGTTTGCGCTGACAACAACTGCCTGCTGTGGCTGGCAATGATTGATTAGTGCAACTTTAACCATTCTTAAGCACAGGGGGGGCAGATTTAAAAAAAAATAAAAATTATTCTATTATTATTATTTTGTCATAAGGCTTGTTTTGGATGTGGATCTGTTATATTGTTCAGGTTGACTTGTTGAACCTTGACTAAGTGGATAAAAACGTTAACCTTCTTTAGCTGCCAGTATTAAATACTGTGGGGAAAGCAAATTAAATATATATGAACAATGAAAGTCATAGATACATTCAGTAAGAAGACTTTGTGTTGGCAGTGAACAACTTGTAGATATTTGTTGAATATGAATGTTCCCTTATTATATATTGATAAAAGCGTTTTCCAGGCAAAACTTTTTCTACAATATACATTTAGTTGAATAAAGCATACTGATTGACCCTGTTTGGTTCTTTCACAGCGGGAATGGGAAGAGTTTCATAGTCTTCTTCACAAAGACCCTTTACTTGGGTCTAAATGTATACCAACTGTACTGCTTGAACTTATTTCACTTAGAATAGAATTGAAAAGAATAAAGGCTGCCAATTTTCAGCAGATTTTTCAGCTAGAGCATTTTTCTATTCCATCCTGGTGGCATGGCGGTAGCTATCACTGAGGACGCCATATCCTCTGTAATATTTTGGGGAGTTTTATCACAGGAGGAATTAACATTAAACACATATACATGTCAAGTTTTGAAGAGTTTTAGAGACTAAAATGTCTTAAAATCAAAACAATAAATATTTTTAAAGGGATGCAGTATTTTCTACCAGAATTACCTGGCAGTGTAGAGAAAGCTTTGTGAAGTAAATTATATTAATTAATACAATTTTAATTTCTGCGGGTTTTTATTTTAATGGATATATTTAATGGCTAGTCTAAACTTAAGTGGGTGGGGTTTTGGGGGACTTTGGGCTCATGACCTCAGTAAAATCCTGGCTACAGCCCTGATTGGAAGTCCCTCCTCCTTTGATTCAGTGATGGACAGTGAGGCCACTCAGTATGCTACACCCCCTTCCCCACAAACTTCCATCGTCTTCAAACTTATTCTTCCCTTTCTCCTCCTTCCTCCAAAAACTCCCCGGTTCCTGTGGTGCGGCTGGTTTTGTGTGGCCCCAGCACTGTCCCGTTTTTATCACTCCTCTGACGGGTTACCCCGGTCCCCCTCGCACCTGCGCCGCTCCCAGGTCCCTACAGGAATGCGCTGGGGCTTGTAATCGCCTTTGTGGGGGCCATTGAGTTGTACGGCTGACTGAAACTTCCCAACCTCACAGCGCGCTGGCCGCTGAATGGGGCTCAGCGTGGGGCGGCTCTCCAAACCACAGCCGCTGCCAAATTCCTACAGTGGCGCTCCACAATCACTCCCACACAGGCCCCGATATACCGCCAGGCAGGAGGGACGGGAGGGAGGGGGGGTCGAGATGTGGTGGTGGTGGAGTGTGAGTATGTGTGCTGGGCAGAGAGATGGTAAGTCTACATTTAACTCCTAACAAGACGGCCACTTTTTTTGTTAGGTTGGACTACATGGCATGAGCATTTGTCATTTTTTACAAATCACTTTTAACGTGATTTGGGGGTAACAATGAATCAAATATCTTTTCTTTTTTTTCATTTTAATATCTCACCTCTTGTCAAAAAGTCCCACTGCAGATGCTATTCCATGAATGGAGAAATCTGAAAAATAAAAAAAGAAAAGGAAAAAAAACGTTTGAATGCTGGACAAAGTTTGAAAATAAAGCAATTTCTCATAACTTTCAGGACGTTTGTGCTGCGTTTCGTGCATTAGGTCTGTGTGCCGGCATATAGCGTGGTAGCTGTGGGTAGATAGAGCAGCACTGCAGGATTAAGAGGCAGCAAGATTGTTAAACATGTCAACGTGTAATTGCACGATAAGGCCCTTCCGAGGAATTCATTGGCCCCGTTGCTTTCTCTATTCCGCGCTAATCTCGCCCGGCACATTCGCTCTGTGCAATCTGTCTCCATAATCTTCTGTGACAGAGCGGGCGAAGAGAGCAGCCTGCTTGGTAATTTTTTTTTTAGGAAAGGGTGGGGGGAGACGTGGAGAAAATATGCAGAGGCGTGATAAAGTGACGCTAATTATCCCCATTTAGGACAGGGAGTGCAAGGGATCGGGGCTTTACGAGCAACCGAGTGTGCGCTGGAGCTGATGGCCTCCTAGCATGGAATATATCGGTGGCTACAAGATAAGAGTATCGCGTGGTGGAGAGATTTATTGGCCGGTCAGCTAAACACACACGCGCGCGCGCACACACAGACAACACACACACACGCACGCACACGCACACACACACACACACACACTGAAAGCATCGCTGCCACACAGCCCATATACCTTGCACCCTCCACTTACCCCTCTTCCACCTCAAGGTGTAATTTATTCGGGTTAAATTTGCCAGAACACTCCTCTTTTAGCCTGGTGATGCGCCGTGACGCGCTCCGCCTCTCCGGGCTTTCAGTGTTAATCCGCATCTCTTCACATCAACAGATAAGACAGAAACAGATGCAAAACACACGGAGGAGGCCATCCCGTGCCATACGCCGCAGCAGCGGAAGATGTCTCCATAGATGCAGTTTCTTTTGGCTTTTGGAATTTAAACTCATTTCCAGACATCGTTCCTCTGATTTTTCTCAACAGATTAATGCGCAGCCAGACGTTATAGGCTTTGCAATGAGGCCTAACAGGTTTAATTGACATGCCATGCAAGTCTTCATCAGTGTGAAATAGGCCCTTTAACTATGTATTTGAGATTAATTGATTTTTTAAAAATGCCTAAGTATTCATACATTTCCCTCATTTGCATGTGTATGGCTATTAGCCTGTGTCTACATATGAGGCCTACAGGCAACAGAAAATGTACATGTCAAAAACAGTTGTGGCCTGTCAAAATGACATCATTTTCAGAGTGATATTTCATTATTTAAAGAGGATTAATAATCTGAATGACATTAAACATGTCTGATCCACAACGAAGGCGTTTCTGTTAAAAGGTACCAAAACTCACAGTCATTTAAAAATACAAACATCTGCAGCTTTGAAATTGTGATGAGTCATCAGTAAATCCATAAGATACTTGTCGATGGTGTTTGGCCGTTTGGAAAGTTGAAGTCCAGTCTGTGCAACAGTTAGGCTGTATGGTTTTGGTTGTGCACGTTGATAACAAGTTAAGCATCTTGAATCATTTCATGATCTGCTTTGGGCTTACATTTTGACGAATTGGCATTAAGATCCCCCCTTCATTTACAACGACATAACGGTTTATTCCCCCAAATTTCTTGTAGTGCTGATATCAAACAAGAATTCATTGTTCAAATCTCTACTTGTGCCTCATGCAGTTTCCCCAGTTCCATTTACGTCCCTGGCTTTATCAAGTGTCAAGAGCAAAAAAAAACCCCAAAAATGATTTCTCCCGCCTCAGAGCTAAAATATGAATGGACCATGCAGCTATAACTCCAAATATAAAGCAGTTATTACAGATGTGTGTCAAACTGTTATATTTGAACACCATTAATTTGATCAGCAAGATAACCAAAATACAGCTAAAGAAATTTAGATTTTTGTGAGGGTGCACGTATTTTTTCTCTCAGGTCTGTTGAAGGCTATTATTGATCAACCCCTAACTATCAATGGGCCATTATCAATTAAGCTATCAACTTTTAAATTGAATGCCACACAGAAAAGGTGGATGGTTTTTAAAAAACATGTCCAAAGGGCAGCGCATGTACAATAAACCACTTCAGGTGAAAAATCAGTGAAAACCAAGTCTTTACATGAAAAAAGAAAAATAATTATGGCTGAACTGTTCATTATCTTTAACAGTTCATTACTTTTTGACTTATGAGTTATGTCAAGTGTTCAGAACAGAAGCAGTGGAATTATCTCAAAATTCACACTGAAATTCACAAAATGTCTCTCAGTGCATCAAAAATATATAAATCTATTTTAATGATGTATTGAATAAACTGAAAGTCATATTCGTTTTTAAAACAAGGTGTGCTTAAAAAATTCAATAACGTAGCAAATGAGTAATATTTCCTTTTGATAGGCTATATTACATTTTTGCTGAGAGAAATTCTTTATTTAAAATTTGATAATCAGTGTAAGTCTGACACAACTTTGCAATTCGTTTGCAAAATATAAATCTACTAATTGATTAATAAAATGACTATGGAGAGCTTAAAATTAAAAACTGATTTAAAAAATGCTGCTTAAATTATTTAATTACAAGGGGAAAATGGCATTTGATAATAGCATAATTTAAGTAAACCATCTTATATCAGTTAATGAGGACGTTTCGTTGATAACACTAACAGGTAGGTTGTCATATGAGGCCTTCACGTACTCTATATAATTAGGTTTGTTTTTAGAAACATTACAAAAACGAACGTGTAAGGAATCATTTTTATATGAAAGGATAATGTGGACCATCAACTCGGCCTGTCTTAAATATTCATAATGACACTTAGGATATAGTTTGGCCTGCACAATTAATTTTTTTCTATTATAATTTATAGATAAATGTTTCATTATCCACATAAACGTGCAGTCCATGAAACAACTTCAATCCTACTAAATTTGTTTCCTCATTGACCTACAGACTGTAGCTTTTCCGCACAATTACGCACAAACAATTAGGCTATTTAAAAGCTTGTGGGATCTGTGTGGTGTCAAAATTTAAATAGGTGGCTATTTTTTATCTGGAGAGGGGGCTTGATGACATGCTCGTGTCCTAAAACGTGAAAACACTCTAGTAAGAACATTGTGAAAATAATCAATCTAAGACCGTTGTCTTAAGAATCAAAGCAACATCTTGTGAAATTTATTCAATTCTTCTTCATTGCAATATCAGAGCTTTTCACTTGCAGAAAAGCACTTAAATTACAACAGCAGTTGCCGTCATCCTTTGAAATATTAAAATTATTCACAATTTACAATAATTAGAGTGTTACAATAAAAAGAGATGATCTCCAAGAATTAAGACACAGGCTTCTGCAAATAAACACAAATGTTTAAAGAATGTGAGTTTCCCATATCTTTTAAAGCACTTTCTTAAGATTATGACACGTTATCTCATATTCAATAACTTACAAGAACCCCCAAAATTATGAGACAATTGAACCAAATACCCCCATGTGAACCTGGCATAACCCTCAACTAAGACTGTGAAGTAATGGACAAAAAGATGGTAGCACAATAACCATTATCTCAGCATCATGTTCGTTATATAATTCCACTGGTGGCTATTCCAAAAAGCCGAGATGAATATGCTATTTACCCTTCATTTACAATATCATAAACATTCTGTACAAAATGCAGGTAGTTCTCGGGACCGGGGTTATTTAGAAAAGAGGTAAATATTTGGTTATGTGTTCGTTTGCAGTTTTCAATTATTCTGTGAGTTCTAAATGTGTGTTAGAGGGACCGTCCCGTTCACTCCAGCCGTGGCGCTCTGGTAATGCTGCGGCAAGGCATGGAGTCTACTTTGCATTGACGGGTCCCCCGGCTCTCCGGTCGGTAAATACATGCTTATCATCTCTCTCAAGTCTCCGGGGCAAGGACCCCGTGAGTGTGTGCTGCTGACGGGAGGGCTTACACTCGGCTCCGACTTCACTAGCGACCCTAACGTCCCCATGGCAGCTGAGGAGGAGACGCCGGAGCCCTGGTGCTGTGTGTAGGTGATCCCGCCGTAGCCGGATGGAGAAGCGTTCATGTAGCTCTGAGAGTTCGAGATGGGACTGTACTGCAGGGCTGTCATGTCGTAGCGGTGCATGGCTTGGGGGTTGTGTGAGTGATGGTGGTGTGAGTGGTGGTGGTGGTGCGCTCCGCTCCCCGGGTGCTGGCTGTAGGCTAGCTGAGCCTCCTGCATCATCGCTGCCGCCGCCGCGGCTGCAGCCACCTGCCCCGAGTACGCACCGTTTGCCCAGCCGTTCATGTGCGCGTAGCCGGAGCTTGCAGAGCCTCCATGACCCCCGGGGCTCTCTAACCTCTGCCCAACACCGGAAGAACTCATCCCGACCCCTAAACCAACTCCACTGCCCCCACTGGGCCCAGAAAGCAGTCCACCGGCAAGTGAATATTTGTCCTTTTTCAGCAGCGTCTTGGTCTTCCGTCTTGGCCGGTACTTGTAATCCGGATGCTCCTTCATGTGCATGGCTCGCAACCGCTTCGCCTCGTCGATGAAAGGGCGCTTCTCAGCCTCGGACATCACCTTCCACTCGGCCCCCAGCCGTTTGCTGATCTCAGAGTTGTGCATTTTGGGGTTCTCCTGTGCCATCTTCCTCCGCTGCCCACGGGACCACACCATGAACGCGTTCATCGGTCTCTTCACCCGTTCCTGATTCGCTTTGGACCCGCCGTTCGGCCCCGTTTGACCCGTGGTCGTATTCGTTTGGGGGCCGGGGGAATGGAGGTCAGTTTCCATCATCATGCTATACATTCACCTGGTTTTAAACTTCGCCACCAACAGAGAAAAAGTCTTTTTCAAGATAGGTCAGGCGCGCACAAGATCGGGTGCGCACAGGATGACTGGGTTACAAAGTGAATAGTCTAACCCCAAATTAATCAAATACGAGATAAAAATTAATCCGAAAAGGGATATAAAATGTTCTCCAACCAGTATTTCACCCTGTCTTCGCCTGGGTTGGTTCACATCCACTGTGATAGAATGCGCATTTGAGCCACTTTCCCAGTCGGAGTTGAGAAGTTGGTTAAAGCGGCGGCCATATGATGCGCACTGACAGCGGTTAAATGAGCCACAAGCGGCCAATGGGGCTGTAGCAGCAGAATGATTTGCATGGCGTTTGGTCAGGTGACTAGAGGACCATAGGAAGAACACACCGGAGGAGGAGGAGGAGGAGAAGGAGGAGGCAGAAAGGAGGGTCAATCCCACAAATAGCACAAGACATTTGAAATTACCAAACATGCTCTCAGAGACTTCAGCTAAACAAAAATAACTAAGATTTGTTAGCAGTGATGTAGCGGCCAAAATGTGGGAGTCAAACATCTCAAGATATTTTAAAAGAAAGCTATGGTCGCTGAATTTTAACGAATGTAAAATACAGCTTCCATATTCACAGGGTTCAATGAAAGTTTGGGTTAAACATTTATTTTTCTTTCTCTCTCTCTCTCTCTCTCTCTCTCTCTCTCTCTCTCTCTCTCTCTCTCACATACACACACACACACACACACACACACACACGCACACACACACACACACTGTGCGTCCTAGAAGTCTCGGCCCAACTGTATTTTTATGTACTGGAATTACAGTCTCTCCACACCAATTCAATCTCAGACGACTTGATGCTCAACCAGCGCCAGAAAATCCATTTTTCAGACCATCTCTCTCTCGCGCTCCCCTCCAGGTATGTAATTAAGGTATGTAATAATAGTAGGTGTCAGAGATGGAGAAATTACACACAGAAGATAATGTGAAAGGGATTTGGTTTTGAAAAAAAACTACTGGTCTAAGAGCAGAAGCCCCTGAGGATGGATAGTGACGTGAAATTGAAATTGCCGGGGCAAAGCGCCGTTACCGCCGTCTGCTGGTGATGGTGAATGAGTCCTGGTCATGGTCGTGTGTGCCGCTGAAGATGAAAAGCAAGGCCACATGTACACCGCTCTGTTGTTGTCGTCAGTTTTTTAGTAGATTTTTTTATTTGTCTGATACATCTTATAGGCCTACGCCTTATTTAACATCCGGCCACATAACCCGTTTGTAAACCACGAGGGGGAAACGGTCTATGTGTCTTTGAGTCCGCGCATATATAATCCAGATTTCACAGTTGACCTCCCCTGAAAAGCCCAATCAACCTCTAATTGAAAGGGAAAACGAAATACCACTTCCCGCGGCGAGACTAACGATTTAATCATTCTATCGTTCTTTGCTGTTTTTATTTTAATTGGAGCTTAGCTTGATATAGCTCTCTGTTTTGGGCCTGAGGGAGCGGGATCACTCGGGCGGAGCCATGCGTCTTTGGTAATGGGGGTTAACGGGATATCACAATAGTCAATAAACGTGTCCAGTGGTTCAGGCCATGTGGTTTAAGGCCCGAGGAAGACGACAATATGATGATGGCACCCAGGGAGCTCTGGGGCCGGTGAGTGTCAGTGAAGCTATCGCACCAGAAAACAAATAAACAAACAAAATAAATAAAACAATGTAGTATACTGGGTTCTTGTAGCAAAGAAATGGAAATAACACTGATATCTGAGTCTGGCTTATTATTAACAATAATACTTATCACATGACAGTCAACATTTTTATGATTAATATTTTATTCACACTAACCAGGTAGTCATATAGGCCTAACCCCCAAAATAAAAACCAATATAAGTGATTAGGATGTTGTCATCTTTGTTATTTCAAAATACATCTTCAGACAAAAAATAAAGCATTTATCCTTCCTTAATAGGTCTAAATTAATTCAAACAGATGTCACTATGCATCCAAAATGTTATAGTTAAATCTGATGAAGTACATTAATAAAGCCCATTTTAAAAGACCTGTTGACACCGTGTAGATTTTTAAGCATCGATCGGGAAAAATCATGGAATTATTATTATTATTATTATTATTATTTGTTCTTCTCGTTGTTGAGTGGATTAAGGATAGTACAGGATTAGTCTTTACAGTGACACTGGGACCCCGGTGGCCCCTGTTTACGTTCTCTGTCATCCCCCATCAGTCACTTCTCTTTTAACAAACCTCTTTTCAAACCTCCTCGCCCCTTTGTGCGCGGCCTCTGCAACAGGATGTGCCACCGCGATCGTGGTGCACGACTGGGGCCAAGGGTCAAAGCAGTTATCCAACGCCCCGCCCCACTCCCCTACAAATGAATAAATAAATAAGTGAAGGATTGTGAATAAATAGAACAGGTCTCACAAGTTACGCACAGCGGGTTTCATTGCGCTTTCCAACTCCTGCATCCCTCGCACAAATAAGTCAAAAGGATGGATGGTATCTGGGTTAACCCCCTTTCATCAGTAATCTTTCTTCCTAAAGCAGTTTACCTAAACCAGAACAACACTTTCCACGTGTGGTGCGCCTGGACAAGCCAGCGCGCGTGGAACTATAGGTGATGTTGGCTTCGGGGAAAGAAAAAGGAGTCGTGATCACCTGCTGATTACCTGGACATAAACTGGGTTAAGCAAGAGAAAGAAATAGTGTTCGTGCTTCAAGATACACACCCTAAAATCTAAAGATGTGATGAACAGCCCCCAACACCTTCCACTTGCCTCCCCCGCCTCCCGAAAAGTAAAAAAAAAACGCCGAGAGAATCATGTAACATAAATATTGCAGCCACCAAGCCGTGTAAAACAATACACCCTTTAAAAATACAGCTGGATATTTTAGCGCATGCAACGTATTTTCTCGTTAATCCGGACAGATAAAGGGGCCACATATGATAACCATTCACTCCCGAACAGATAGTCGCCGATACTGTCTGCTTGGAAAATCAAACTGAGTCGGTTAGAGAGCAACTGGTAGCAGCACCATGAGCTTCAGAGCTGTGCGCTCTGTGCACATGCACCACAATAAAACGACAGCCTGCAGCTAGAAACACATGTTATCTGTACTGAATTGAGCACAGTAGAGCGCAAACGTACCAAATTTAAGGTTGCCGATAAAGGCACTTATATCATTATGCTCAAAGCTGAAAGGGTTCAAGTTACCTTCCTATTCTTTCGGCATTAATTCCTCCTGGCGGTTAGACAAAAATACATTTACGCACAACAGATAGGTTAACTAATATTGTATCTACAGGTTCAAGACTTATATTAAATGCCTTTTCTTGCGTACGGAATAGTCATGTGCAAACTTACGCATGTTCCCCTCGTTCACTCTACTCCAGACCAAGTGGGCAGATTTCTCCCTCCATACTCCTAAAGCCGTCCTAAACCCTCCAAAGCCTCATGTAAGACGCTACTCCCACTACAATCTGGCCGCTCCAGTGCCAAGGCCATCCATGCCCGGTGCCCAAACCCACCACTCAACACACACTGAGGGGCAGAGACAAGAAGAAATGACATTTATTATACACCCTAAAAAGACAATTCCAAGTTATTGTTTCTCTCTGCGAAAGGGGCTTGCTTCTAACATAATGAAGCGTCTTTTGTGTGGTACAGAACAATACAAAACAAGTATTCTAATAAATAGCCACTTCTTTTCTTTTTTTTTCTTTTTTTGGCTCTCCAGGATGAATGGGCTGGAGCGGCGGGGTTCTGAAAGGCAGCTGTGCCGCATTCGAAGAGGAGGGGCGAGGACTTGAGGAGGAGCCCAGCACCCCCTTCGCCTCATCCTGGATACTGACTCCCATTACTGATCCGGGAACAGAAAAGGATGCAAAGAGAAGGGGAAGAAGGAAGGGAGGTGCGCGCACGTGTGTGGAGGGGGGTAATGACTTTGGAGGCAGTTTTTTTTTTTTACTCAGGACATACACTGTGTTCAACAATGTGATCCTAAAATCCTAAAATACTGCTTCATACTGTGAAGTTCACAGCGTCCATTACTACTAAATTAGATTTAGTTTATATGAACCTGCACAGCTTGCAAGCATGTGTCACAGACAGCTTCTACACTTTACACAACACACACACACACACACACACACACACACACACACACACACACACACAGTATACACAGTATAAGACACAGCTGGGCTCATTGACGGTTTCTTATTTACACACAGGTTCACAGTTTTGAGACACAGCACTGTCAGCATCTGTTTCAGACACACACACACACACACAGGTCTGTTCAATCTACTCCTCTCCACTGGAAACTCAGTGTTGATTACCTCACAGATTAATTTCTTCTCAGTCTAACCCTCACATGTCCCGTTTGTTTTGCAAACACAGGAGCAGAGCCTGGTTGAGCAGCTCCTTCACTGCTAATGAATCGGGCACACTGCTGCTAATTCCCCTCCCTTCCTGTTGCAGCCTCCTGGCTTCAGGGCTGACAGACTGCCTGACTTAGCTGATGTAGCTGGCAGGTGTCTTTGCTGCTTCACACATGCATCTGCTTACTGGTGGAGCCAGGGTGAAACATTTGTGGGTCCTATAAAAGGACTATATTCCCAGCTTTCTATTGTTTAGGAACAAGGGGTGGCAACAAATCAGACGCCTGGAGATGCTTTACGACAAATTCGTTGTTGTATAATGACTTGATGAGCTAAACTGGACGGACAGCGGGCAAGAATTGGATTGTCCGCTTCCAACATTCCCTCCAAAAATCTCTCATCTTAAAGTGAGAATACATTTCGTAACACAGGCGGATGTCCACCCCTTTTCAATTCACAACAATTATTCACTGTCATAAAATGTCACCATAACCCCTGCTATTTCTTGACTTAGACTCAGGAAGCCGATGGTGGCTAAACAGTGTTTGGAGTAACGCGTAACAAAAGTAATCAATTACAGTAACGTATTGCTTCTTGCTATAACGCAGTAATATAACGTATTGCTAAAAAAGGTTTATATTATACCCGTTACAATCTCAGTAACGTGTGTTACAACGCATTTTAACCCGAAATTAAGCAGTGTTTTGTTTTTTTAATAATTAACCAACACCGCGAACCATTAAGGCATCAGAAAAACAAATCCACGAGTAAAAGAGTAACATGATTTCCTGTTGCGGGAACCCGATGGTTGAGATTGTTGTCAGAGCAAACTACGGGGGAGCTCGGCTCTTCTTAACAAGATGGTAGCTTCCCTGATGGATCATGCGTAAACAGATTTCTATAGGCTATGTGTTTGTGCTTTAA